TTTCTATTTGATTTCCATATAAAGATTATGGACGCCGGGTTTGACTTCATTAAAACTTCTAAAACCTCTCATCGAATTGACCACATGAATAGTGGCATCGGAATCAAGCACCCAAGTATCAACCTCCTCATTGGCCATCAAAGTCTCATGAACCACACAAAACTTTTCCTTCCTTGGCCCACCACCTGTTTGACCATGAGGCTTACCGGCATTAGACTTAGGAGTGAAGGGGGGATTTTGTGATAGAGGAGGAGGAGGATATCTACAAAACTTTTGGGTGAGGCCATACTTCTTGCACCTATAGCATTGCACTCTCAAATAATCTTGGCTAGATGCCCAAACCGTCCTCCCATGAACCATAGTAGGTGTTGGTGGTGGTTTGGGCCTAAAATTTCCTTGAGTCACATGGCTAGGAGTAAAGGCATGGGGTTTAGAAGGATAAGGGCTAAATGGATAAAGGGGATATGGCCTTATTATTTCGCCTTGTTTGCCCTTCCCCTTCCATTTGCCTTTTCCTTTTCTCTTCTTGTTTTGATTTTGAACACTCCCACTAACCCCAACATTAAAAGCAATCGGATTTGAAAAATAAGGCAAAGACGAAGAAATAGGAGTGACAAGCAAGGGAGTAGAAGAGGAAGATGGTAGTTGTGATTTTACCATATGGACCATAGCCAATGGTCCATCCATCGCCTTTCGCCTTTGTTCCTCGGCCTCCATGAACGATGCAATTTCTTCTATAGTGCTTGGGGCATCTTTTGCCATCAAATTGGCCACAAAGTTCTTCCACCTTGGAGAGATGGACAACATGAAGATGGTGTTTTGAGTAACTTGATCATAGGAATGACCGACTCTCTCACTTTCCTTGATACAATTCTTAAATTCCCTTAGATGATCACCCACCTTGGTGTGATCATCCATTTTACAACCCATGAGGTTTCTCATTCTAATAATCCTTTATGCCTCATTAGGTGTGTCAAATTTCTTCTTCATTTCATCTATGATATCCTTGACACAAGTAAAATCTTTATAATCCTTAACAAAAGTATCAGTCATAGTAGCAAGTGATTCATGGCACTTAGATTCTTTCGATGTCATGTCTCATAAGCTTCCTTAACCACTTGTGGTGCATTAATAGCAGGCTGAGTTGGTGGCCTTGAAGTGAGCAAAGGCACCAAATCATCCTCATGAAACACATACGCAATCTTATGCCTCCACTCGGTAAAGTTGGTTCCATTGAACCGTTATTCCTTAAGCAACTCGGTTACGATCGACCGGGCAGTCATTGGTCCCTGGATGGCACTCTAAATACATACAAATGACTCTAAATGGGGCTGTTAAAGAGCCTAGCTCTGATATCAATTGATGTGGTATAACGTCTAGGAACACTTTGATTAACCAAAAACAAGAATACAACTTGGTGCCTTAACACAAAACTCTCACTTATACAAAGCAAATATACAATAACAGTCCTTTAACACAATGATAAAAACATCTTAGACTTTACATACCACTGAAAATCAACTCTAGAACAGTCCCCTTATGGGGCAAATTACAAGCCACTTACACCAACTCGAAATTGAAACACTTAGTTACACACAATGGAAGTACACTTGAATATCATCAAATTACTGAACTGAACTGCCCCAACGGTAATGACAGATAATGATAACAACAAAACAGATGTATTAGAGTGCCAAAAATACTCGGGAAGCCAATGGTTCGAACCCCTTGTGCCTGATCCATGATCGGGGCTTTTGAGGACTTAACCTTGTTCCGAAGATGAGTGCACGAGTGGTTTATATGACTCAAGGGTATCTATCCAATTTGGGAAGCTTAAACACTTTTAAAAACAATTCTTATGGTCCATAATCAATAACAAAATTAATCCACAACAATTTGCCAAAGGAACTAGGATGATCCGATCAAATTTGAGCAAGATAGAGCAAAACTATGTAGTATAGTCCATTGGACCACCAAAACAGGATTGCATGCAAAAGTGTGGACTTTGTATAATTCAAGGAGGTAATAGATCTCTGGAATTTGAAAGTTGAGTATAAGAAATGCACCAGAAAAATTCGGGTGGAGAAAATCAAGGGTAAACTATTCTTAATCAAAGGATCATCAAGGTATGAAGCTTGTAGTCTAATGGATGACTTCCTTATATAAGGCTTTCACGAAGATCACATGAAGCAAGAATAAAAGGTTTGCAAAGCTACTGTAACAAAGAATTGACCGCAAGGTTTGAAGTGAAAGAGAATGAAGAACAATAGAGAAGAACTTGATGGAAGGTAACCTTGATGATTGCTTAACATGAACTTGATATCATGTAGTGAAGGATCACCTTAAAATTCCAAATATGATCAATGGAATGCTATGGAACGAGTTCTACAATGGATGGTGCATGGAGCTTATGGAAGTTCTTGCTCTCCCTTTCTAGATTCTTTTTGCTTGTAAAATTCGCTTTTCAAAGATTGGGTTAAGTTTGGGCCAAGATTGTATTTATGTGAAGTGTTTGAGTGAGATTAGATCTCAACCCTTGATGCACATTATCAATGACACATGAGAGGCTAATTATTCCTTGCTAGTCATTCCCATCCACCACCAAGATGAAGGGATGAGATTTGCTGCCATTATCACCCACTAAAACCCTAGGTCCAAGCCACATTTACCTTATTGTCCTTAGCCCTATACTTTTATTCTAAACATGTCCAAGTGTGCTTACAAAAATGCCCTCAAAATTTCTTTAATTCAATAGTGATGAGAATGTTCAAGGGCAAGGGGCAAAACAGTAAAAGGCATTATGGCATGAGAGAGAGAAAAAGGTGGGTTATGACACCACCAATGGGATCATCTCAACCCACACCCGTCACATGCACTCTTACACCTGCACATTGGTCACACTAATGAGGTGCATCCACATGAAACATTCACACGCATTGACACCTATGTGGATATTAATTTCAACAATAATTTTTTTCTCAAAAATTCCCTTGGCTTCATACAATCCAAAGGTGTTACATGTGTGAGAAATATCCATGTGATTAAAATGTGTCTTTAAGTTATAAGGTTATAACATAATGTTTAAATCAATTTAAATAAATAAGTAACAGAAAGGGGGTCCACGCCAAACTAGAATGGGGGCCCAAGGTGAGGGGCCCATGGTGCCACATGGCCACCCTATGGCCACTCGGGTGCCATGTGGCATCCACATGGATGTCCTTATTTGGAATTAAGGTCAAACAATTTTGAAAGACACATTTTTGTGCTTTAAAAAAAAAAGGAAAAAATCTCAATAAATATTTGAAACTTGTGTTCATAGTTTTACATCATTTCTAATCATAATTAAACCGGACTCAAGGTATATGTGAGATCTCAAGGCTTTGACTTCGTAACGTGAGTACTCCATTGGGCTAGTCCTGAATGATGTTCCACTAATGTCTCAAGTTGACTCAACAGTCTATGACAGGGACACATAATTGGTCATATCAAAGTCACTGAACCAGAGCTTCTCATCATCCGGCTTCTCAATGGATTACAAGTGTACCCGTGTGGGACATATTACTATTCTATTACAGGGGACCTCTCAAAGCACCTGTGCATAGGCTCTTCCAAAGTTGGATAACACATATGGAAGAGTGGGTTCCCGTGAATGTGCACATTCCATGGAATGGTCTCGTGTCAGGATACGGACTCATGTCCCGTAAGTCTTGACCATTCCATACAGGGCTAGCTCTCATCACAAGACACTCGGGTTCTTTTACATTCAATTGGTAACTCCACGCTCTGGATAATAACATCAATTATGCGGCATTCTAGCTTATATTGTCCTAACTCGGAGGTACCCCTGACACCTCCTAAAGAGATCAATCTCTCAAAGCGCAAACTCTCAATGTCTCATACGTACTTGGGGTATTAGAACCTAGGCCCCAGTTCGCAAAGCACCCTGATTCTATCGCTCACTCACTCCCATGGAGTGAGAGACTCTTGGCATTAAGGCCTTGAAAGGTCATATTGCTAACTTTCCTATCTGAGTCTTAACCATCAGACTTGGGGCTTGGCGAGCCAACTCGGACCGTTCGTTTTTCTAAATGCTGTTTCTAAGAAATTTGAGCTTTAGTTGGAAAAATTGCGCTTATGCAGTCGTGGTTGCTATCACTTTGGAGTATCTTGGGCTTGTTATTTAGGTTGTTGGTAGAGATTGTGACATTCCTCAGTTCCCTTGTTGCTCTTAATCATTTCGGCACAACAATTGGGATTTCTGATGTAGACACGTGAAAAGATATCCCAAAAAGGAACATATTTTCTCATTAGATTTTGTGCCACTTTATCAATAAAATTTTGTTGAGAAAATCCGCAAGGCCCAATTCTTTTATGTGAACTCAATTCTAAATTCTATTGTTGATGACCTTTATAGTTTCACAATGAACATGATGCAAAGATGTCATCTTAAATATACTCAAAGATGCTGACAAAGAGCTAGAGAAGGTGGGTCCCATTAACGGAAATTATTTTGAATTCACACCTTGGTGTTAGTGATTATCTAACTTCCTACTTGCTCAAACTTGATGCAGATTTCTACTTTACTTTAGGTCATTGGTTTATGTTCGTTTTGGATTTCACCAATTTTTTTGGAAACCCAGTACTCTGCTTTACTGAAATTTTTCAGGGAGGAATATTTTAGAGAATAAGGGTATTTGGGGTTGTTTCCTAGAAAGTCTAAGGTAAGTTTTTATGTCCCTGCCCAAGTAGGTCTTAAATGGACTCATTTGCCTTTATATAAATCTACTTTATGATTTTATTGTTCTGTCATATTCAATAGATTATCTGACTTATGCTTGAATGTTATTGTCTCTAGGCATGGTACTCTTTTCTTTGGAATGGACGTCAATGTTTCTTGAGATTAGCAATTGTATTGGTTGTATTTGTTTGGGAAGTAACCATATTAGTTGTAAACTAACAATGCACCATCTATTTTCGTTTTTTGGTTGATAACTTTACAGGGGTTTTCCTGTGTGGTTACGTGATATACCTGGCATTGAATTCCGAACTAATAATTCATTGTTCAAGGTAACTAACTTAGATTTAAGACTTCATTAAATTATTCGTTCTGTATTTATTAGACTTTTTCTTCTTTATCCTTGACGACTCATTCAACTTGTTGTAAATGCATTTTAGTTCTTGTGGGACATAGTTATAGAGCAATGGTGTCGAATTAAATCCTTCACACATTTAGGACAGTTGGTTTAGCATACTCAAAGAAGTTGAGTTAATATATTGACTCAATAGCATTTCGCCTATGATAGTGGGCATTTTTAAAAGTTGGAATTAAACCTAACTTGACCAGCCATTTGATCCGCTTTCCTTTGAGCATGACCTTCTCTAATATAGTTTTTTCTTTGGGTGGGTAAGCGGTGGGACTGGAGTCCGTGACACTACTCTGCAGTTTTATTGCCCTAACCACTGAGCCAAGAGCCCCACTGCCATAATGAATGTCTCCTTAGGCTAATGGAAGTTTCCATTTCTAAATGTAATTTCTTATTTGTCAAGCCTTAGACTGGAAGTTTCTCTCGCACTGCTTTCGTGGAACTAACGAGCTAATTTGTTATGTAGATGCCTCGGGTTTAGTTATTATTTAATGAATTGTCACTGGAGCCCTTGGTTTAATGGTAAGACTAATAGTTTGCAGAAGAGAGGCCAACCTCCTTGTGCTATCCAAACTGACCCACTTTAAAAGTAAACAAAAAGCATATCATTTGATGATTGCTAGTATTTATGCAAGAAGCCATGATCTCTATTCCGTTTTACTTGGAGTTTCCTTATTTATATCATTGTTGAAGAGAACACAAGTAGTAATAGTAATCTGTTTCATGAAGTACTCTGAAATTCTTTTCAACATCTAAGTTTTTCAAAGTGGAAAGAATCTAGGTTTAAACTTATTTTTCCATTTCTGATTAAAAATTACTCATTATAATCGATAACTTGTGGCTTTTTCTTAGTAGCTTTGTTGTATTTTTTTTTTGCAGGAGGAAATGCATAGGTATGTCAAGATGATAGTGGATCTTATGAAGCAGGAAATGCTGTTTTCATGGCAAGGTGGTCCTATCATATTATTGCAGGTTGTGGAGGCCCTTCTTGATTTCAGTTAGACATGTGGTTGTTATGACATCTTGTGTTAAGACTTGGATTAGATCGTGAGCCAAATTACTTAGCTTAATCCATCAAACATTTGCTTCTTGTATCATCTGTTTTTCTATTAATGAAGTAGGAATGGACATACTTAATGCATACCCATAAAGAGACACATGATTTATATCATAAATTGAAATGACTATGGTAACATACCATGCCAGTCCTGTCTCCAATATGAAGTGATGAGGCATCTATTCAGATGATGGAATTAACAGTGTACGATATTGAACAGGTTGAAAATGAGTATGGGAATATGGAAGCCTCATATGGAAAAGCGGGTCAGGAGTATATTTTGTGGGCTGCAAGAATGGCGCTGGGACTCAATGCTGGCGTTCCATGGGTCATGTGCAAGCAAACTGATGCTCCGGGAAATATTGTAATATAAACACCCTCAAATTTTTATTTTCTTGTGTAATTCAGCATCCCTCTTTCTTTATTGAAATACTTGTTTATAGGCATCAATGCTTAGTGGCATTAGATAACTTGCAATGTTTGCGAAAATCATGTGTAGCGGTTGCAGATATTTAGTCGACAGTGGAAACTAATATGTATATTCCATTATCTGAAATTATTTCAATATGATGTTTCATGTATTTTATTTTTTGAATTGTTCTTGGCAGATAGATGCCTGCAATGAATATTATTGTGATGGTTACAAGCCCAATTCGTATCACAAGCCAACAATGTGGACCGAGAATTGGGATGGATGGTATTCAAATTTGTTTTATGCTTTTTGGAGTTTTCATTTCATTCATTGCTCATTGTTTTCATCAAATGTTATTCTTTTCTTTGTTTTATACAGAATGCATGCCATTTGTTTATTCTTAGGGACATGCATTATAATGATGTTGGATTTGATTGACTTTGTATATAATATGATTAATTGGTTACTGTACCTCTCTTTTTTGTACATAGCATATGTATAGGCCTAGTTTCGTTTAAGAAGAGATTCTCATTCTCCAAAACTCTATTTTTCATGGTATTGGAACAAACTTTATGTTTGAAGCACTAATGCGTTTCCTGTGAATCAATTAGTCAGAATTTAATGAAGCTTACATAGTTTGTACTCTCGCCTTTCTAAAATCATAATCTCAAGTAACCCCCTATGTCCATAGAAAGCCCATGGACCCCCTCCAAGTTAAAAAAAAAAGACATTTAACCCCTTCTGCATCTTTTTTATTGTCCAAATTACAATATTTATCTTTGTTTCCCAATGACCCCTTCATTAAAACTGTAGAAAAGCTCCCTCTTTCTTTCTCTGTTCTTCACCAAAACCTCTTCCTTCCGGACCTCCCTCGAAACCTTAAATCTCTCATTTCATGCACTTCACAATTAAGGCTAAAAGAGTTATCTCAAATTCCCTTTACATGATGGGTTTACTAAAAAAAGGACAAAGGCTAAATGTTATAGTTTGGAAAATGCAAAATGTAAAGAGGGGGTTAAAGATCATTTTTTTTTAAACTTGGATGGGGTTTACGGGCTTTATATAGACACAGGGGGTTATTTGGGATTTTGATTTGGAGAGGGTGGTATACGTCTTTTTCCTAGATCTTTGGATCTGACAAATCCCCTTTCTTACAGCTTGATAGTGACTCTTGATCCTTGTTCTTTATGATCTTTTGAAGTAGAAATAATATATATTGATAGAATTTCGGTTGAAATCCTAACTCATGTATCCTTGCTTGTGGAGATATCTCAATTTTGAAACTATGGAGATTTGACAATCTAATTAGCCTTCAGTTTTTTTTTTTTTTCCCACATTTTAGCTATTTAACTTATTTCATTCTGGAATATTTTGACATAATCTATGCCAAGGTTTTGATTTGAATCAATTTTTCCATGAAGGTTGAAGGTGTTTTAATTTCTACTGAGAGATCCAGATTTGTTCACCATGACTTTTAATTTGTTTCGTACTTGGATTTTAAAAAAGGATCCGATTTTTGCCCTCCTTGTTTTCTTTAAGATTTGATGTCGATCTTGTAGCTCAAACATGGATGGGTTAAGGATACATCGTACATACTCAAATGCTTGAACCATATATTACATGTATGCTATTTTTCCTATGCTATGGTATATAGTTTGTTTTCTTACTTTCTACATTCACATCTTCTCTTTGCTGGGGATCTATGATCTTATTAATGCCTTTTGCATGTCGTAGGAGCAAATTTGAAGATTTTATTAGTCCAACGTCCATAGTGTTTTAGTGCTTAGCTATGGTCTATACTGAAGAAACTGTATTTATCTAATTTTGTGTAATATTTTAATTTCCTATTAACTGACTCATAGTTAATTGCCTTGCAGGTATACAACTTGGGGTGGTAGGGTACCTCATAGACCTGTTGAAGATCTAGCATTTGCTGTTGCTCGCTTTTACCAACGAGGTGGAAGTTTTCAAAATTACTACATGGTAAGATAGTTTGTGAATGCTTGTAAAAAGCCAGTCTTGTTTTAGATAAAGAAGAATCTCAGACTTGTCTATAACAATGTCCTCAGATTCACTTTGCTTCGTCAAAGTATTCAAGTTTTACTCCCGAACAAAGTAAATATGAAAACACTTGTTTCTGAGTGATTCAGGTGTCTTCACCCTCTTCGGCTGGCTTTTAGCAAAGACAGGTGTTTTTGGCTTCTTTTGCTGAATCACAATAGGGTAAATTTGATATTTTATTATATACGTGGGCTAGCAAAAGTAAAAGGGGAAAATATTGCCTAAAGAAAAATAAAAAATATCAAAGTGACCCGTGTTTCTTGAAGCTTAAAAGGTAAGGAAAGTCGGCTCTTTTTCTCATGATTTTTTTTGGGTTCTTTCATCTTTGAACTCAAAGCTCTTGTTTTTAATGTAAAGTAATTGATGTTACAAATTTATCTTTTTGTGGTTATGGTGATTGATGAGTGTGTAAGAATGAATGTGGGATACTGGGTGTCATGGGGGTAAAGTTTCGCTACCTAAACGGTGCGGCGCCAAGACTAAGTCCTACATTGAATAGGGCGAGGCCAGCCTTCCACATGCCACACAAGAGGAAAGAGCGAACACACACGAGTCACTTGCACAAGCAATAGATAAGGACCACATCCCATTTTTTTCACTGCACGCATGCACGAGTATAATGCCACAAATGCCTTATAAGGGTCTAGGCTAGGTTTTATACACGCCACGTGTTTATACAGACCCCGGTGACATCAATTCAAATTCAAATAAATTACATGTGACAACCAACCTTTGTGCATGGTCTAGTCAAGGACACTTGGTGGCTCACTAGCAGCCACCTAGTTAATTGCAATAACCCACTTCTTCGTTAGTTACAACGACCCTCAATTTTAGCCACCCGTCTTAGCCGTTCTTGATGCATGGCCACTCGATAGGTCAACCTGGGCTGGTTATCAAAATTGTCTCTGCATTTCTAGCTGCCCACCTCCCAGCTGTTATGCCTTGTAGGAGCTCACTTAGAATTCAAATCCCACTCATGATGATCGCAGTCTACACGCTTGCCCAGCTAGGTGTATGGACAGTTGACGTCTTGCACATGGTCCACATCCATGTCCTGTTAGGTCAAGCTATCGAGGGTCGAGCCAATCAAGCCACTGCTTGGATTTTCCTTAGCCATATATCTGCACCATCTTGCCCAAGGTCTCACCAGGAGTCTTTAGCCACTTGCCCACATGTGCATGCAACCATGCACCATTGCCACACCATCTTGACATCTCACATGGTTTAGACTGGGGGGGGCCTTATCTCTCCTATATACGGTTGTTGGTTTAAAGAACTGGCTGTTTAAGAGAGAGAGCTAACTTCGCCAAAGTAGCACAAGTCCAACACGTAGACTTGTAGGTCATTGTTAAGGGGAACCACATGCGGCACTTAGCCTGTACGCTTGACACTAAGGTGAAACATGTGTGCCACTTAGCTTGCATTCATGATGTCAAGGAAGGACAAGAAAGAAGTGGGGCGGGCGGGGGGGATGCTGACACTAGGACTCTTTATGATTATGGATTATGAATGTCAATGGCTTGATCATTAACATTTTTTTGAAACTGTTAACTGTTCTATATTAAAGAAGAGGGGCTTACAAGAGGCAGGTAGAAACCACCCACTAGACGGGGGTTCTAGTCCAAAAAATAGGCTATCCACAAAGTGGTGGCCCTATTAAAAAATTGGGGATAATGCAGTACATATGCACATGAAAATACAAAAAATACATAGATCCAGTGGCTCAAAGAAACATATGAGCCTCCCAAAAATCAGGTAGTACTAAAAAGAGCTCCATTTTTAGCTAGGGCATCTGCTTGGGTGTTGGATTCCCGCCAGATATACCTCCATGAGACGACCATATGCCTGCAAAAGGTGAGAAATCTCGTCAAATATCAGTGCGAGCTACCAGGGACAAGGTGAGGAGCCTGAGGCCCGGGTGATGATGTTTTGAGCATTGCCTTCAACAATCAGCGGTTGACTCCAAATAGGGTTAAAAAATTTTAGGCCCACTTGGAGGGCCAGGGACTTAGCTGTCAGAGAGTCGACGTGACCCATATGGGTAGAGTAGGAGGCCAAGGTAAGGCCGAGGTGGTCCTTGAGATGCCATTGACACCTGCTAGTCAGGGGTTACCTAAGGAGCACTTGTCGAAGTTGAGCTTAGTCTAACCCATGGGGGAGTGGTGACCAAAAGGTGGACCGAGAGGGGCGAGGAAGGTGGGCATGAAGCAGGGATTTCCAGTTTAGGTGGAAGGTTGAGGAGGGGAAGCCCTTGAACGTCTTGTGGTTAGAGGCACGAAAAATAACCGAAGAAGTGGTTTGTGAAAGAGTGTCGGGGTCGAACATTTGTCACCTCTGAAAATTCTTGAGTTTCTTTCGGTCCAAATGACCCACACCATAGTTGCTACTGATGCTTGTTACAACATCCTACCTACTTTAGGCCAAGGGCTGGCGAGGTGCAACTTATAGAGGGCCGGGATGGAGGGGGGCTTAACCCATTTGCAACTGAAGAGTTGGAGTAACATTCCCCAAATGTTTTAGGCCAAATAGCAGTGGAGAAAGAGGTAGGGGTTGTTTCTTCAGCAGGTAGGCACATAGTGCACCTATTGGGGATGGGAATGCCTCTCCGTTGCAAATGGTCGACTGTAAGGGCTTTTTTATAGAGAGCAATCCAGTTGATCATTAATATTGGGCTTGATTATAAGTATTTGATACTTTAGGTGATGGACGTTTTTATTTTAAATGTCATGCTTTGTGTTTAGGATTCATGATAAGATGTGGCAATGCTTTATGCTGGTTTCCTACCTAATGCAACCTAGCACCCCCTTTACCTTGGCTTGGGATGAGTTAAGGGAAAATTTAAGGTCCTCACTCTTATTAGACTGGGGATATTGAGATGGATGAGTGATGTTGAGATGGATGAGTTACATGACAAGAAAGGATAGGATTTAAAATAAATACATACGAGGGAACTTAGGTGTGGCTTCAATATGCAATAGATGAGGGAAAGTAGACTTAGGTGTCCTAGCCATGTGCAGTGTAGACCTAATACAACACTAGTTAGGAGGTGCGATTTGGTTTAAGTGGAAGGAAAGGGCATGGGGAAGTCTCAAAAGGATATTGATAGAACTAGTGAAAAATGATATGATGACTTTTGGTCTTATTAAGGGTATGACCCTTGATAGAGAAGAATGGAGGAACATGGTTCATGTAGCTGAACCCAAATGATTGGGATAAGGTTTGGATGACGATGACGATGACGATGATGCTTTGTGTTGAAAAATATCTATATGTTTAGATTTTTCTTAATATCTATGTGTTTAGATTTGGTTGGTCAAGTACTCTGCATGAAGTTTATTCACAAGAGAGATATTTCTATCATTCCTATATCTTCTTATGTGAGTAAATGTACATGTTTATGAGTGTTATTCATTTGATATTGTCTCGTAGGTATACAATTGTGACTCCAAGATATTTCACTCCATATTGATTTTGCTTGACTTTGTAGATCATTTGTTGCTTTATGTCATTGCTTGGTGGCTGTCATAAGAAAATATGGCCATTTTTTCCTCTTTTGGAACACCACAGTAACTTCTAAATTTAACATTGCATGAAGAAGTACTTCGTATCCTTTTCATAGAGAGTAAATGTAAACAAGATGCTCTAGAAAGATGATGGAAATTTACTGTTGGTAGAAAAGGAAAGAATAGAGGTGCTTAGGAATGATCCTAGAAGGGAAGAAATATTCTAATGATAATCATTTTTCCATATCATCTGATATTTATTCTAAGCAATGGGTTACATGATTCTAAGAAACTAGGCATTCCTTTAGTAACACAAGTGCTCACTCAAGTTCATCTCTCAATTGACTTTGGCAATGCTTGATGGCTTCTTTGCCTATATCTAGTCCATGATCCAGAGGAAAAGGACCCATTGGATAAATCCCCTTTGGGGTTTTCTCTTCCTTATCTATGATGGTCTTTTGGCGATGCTATAATTTAATACCCTCACGCTTATGCTCATCAAAACATAACAGAACCCCAAAATGCAATTGAATGCGTAAGTAACATTTTTTTTCCTTGAGTCAAAACTGAAACTGGGATTTGGGTGCTGGGCCCGGTGGTTAGGCTGTTCAGGGCATGCAACACAACGTCGATATTTTAAACCCATGGATTACTTATTGGAAGAAAAATGATGAGAAAGAATGACTTGAAATCCACATGGGATTTCATTGGATTGTCAAAATTGGTGAACCATGTATAGAGATAAGTAGTGCCAAATTTTCCTTGTCCAAGCTTTCTCACTATCAAGTAGTTCCCTTAAGCTTTCTTCGATAACATGCGTTAGATTCTCTCACTGACCTATTCCTATATAACCTGGTTCTACCAATTGAGTTCTCTCTCACTAGAAAAGCTTCAAGAAATGGATTTATATAGAGATTCTCGGCAAAAAGAGGTGGTTATTTGCGCTCTATATGGTATAGAATCATGAGATTTGACCTGGGTTTGGTGTTTCTGTGTGTGTCTTCTATGTCTGTTCTCTTGATTTAGGCCAAAGATATTTGGTATGAGTTTGATGCAATGTTCTTTCTTTGGTTGTTCTCTTGCAAATTTTTTTTTTAAATTTTATGGGCTCCGAAGGTGAAAGTCATTGTTTTCTATATCACTTATGTTAAGAATGTTCCGTATGTTTGTCCAATATATAGGAGTAATTTTGATGCTAGTCAGGGTGAGGACAAGCAAAAAGATTGTGAGGGATAACCTAATGTTCTAGCTAATGATATTTGTTCTGATTATGACCAAGTCACCTACTTTTCCTCAAGTTCTGGCAAGTTAATGAGCACATGTGAATACCAGGAGCTATTGAGAAGCTTGTTAAGCAGCTATTGACATGAGCATGAATAATCAGTGCTTCAGGTATCTAGTTACAATTTATGGGCAAACACTTGCTCACCGGGATTCTTCCAGACTCAAGACATAGTTCCCTTGTCCAGCTGCCATCTTCTCTTTTTATCGATTTTCCTTTTGTGCCACAAAGAGAAATGTATTCATCTAGTGTTTCTTATCAAAGTTTCTAACGCAGTTTCTGAGCCTTTCTTGATCATGTAGAGCCCTGAAACTATACATAAGCATTTTCTATCCTGAGTGGATATAAGATTATAGAGCTTCCATGGAATATAAACCTGGGATTTAGTGCTATTACTTCAGGAAGATCCGAATGGTATTTCCTTGGGGAAAAAAGAAGTGAGTAGCTGGACATGTATGTTAAGGGTATTTCTGTCATATATGTAGGATTTATATGGGCGCTGATGTAATTATCTCTTTTAAGCTCCCTGTAATCCTTAAGTTAGAGATTGTTTCTTTCAGTTGTTTACTTAGTGTAAAAGTAGCTTAGCCTTGTAACACTCGATTGCCACCATGTGATGATTTCTTATTGGGAATTTTATCTTTTACTTTTGCTCTAGTTTTTTGGGGGAACCAACTTTGGTCGGACATCTGGGGGACCATTTTATATAACGAGTTATGATTATGATGCTCCAATTGATGAATATGGTATGTGAAATCATTCTTCTCATTAAATTCCATAATATAATTCATTGATGGCTAGCTGTATGTCAATTGTCTGATTTCAATTTCTTTTGAAATACGTTTAACATCAAGATTTGTTTTTTTAGGTCTTCTGAGCCAACCAAAGTGGGGACATTTGAAGGATCTGCATGCTGCTATAAAGCTTTGTGAACCATCCCTAGTTTCGGTTGATGACTCACCTGAATATATGCGATTGGGCCCAAATCAGGAGGTTTGGGGACTGAACTTTACATCTTCTGCATGCCGTTGTTCGAGCATCCTGGGCCTCTTTCAGTGTCTGCATCACTCTATTGAGCTTTGTGAACCATCACTAATTTTTATTGATGAATCACCATACTATGTACGATAGCTACCAGATACGGAGGACTGGGAATGCACTTTATGTCATGTATTTATTTGGGCACATTAATGTGGTTCTCCAGAATTTTGCTTTAGAATCATATTCCAATTGTAACAGCCTTAGACCTTCTTATGTTCTGAATCTATGTTACAAGGACCTGGATACAAGAATCAATGTCTAACTTAGAGTCAAAGAATTTGACTTACCTACCTATATTTGTCAAGTCCAGTGCAATGCGTCTATATATATTTATATATAAAATTAAATTGTGACTTTTTAATAATGAAATTAACTTGGAAAATAAAACATGTAGGTCCAAATCAAGGACGTGCAGTTCCAAATCATAAGACAAATGCACCCATGCATCTTACAAAATGTATGCATGTGTCTTTGAAATGACCCAAGGTGTCTTTTTCATCCAAAGCTGTGGACTTGTGTCCACAGCAGAAACGCAATGTCCGCGAATCCAAAAAACGAAAATTTCCAGAAATAGATGTCTAACGCAGATATCCTGTAATCTGTATGTTAGCATTTCTTGTCGAGTTAGGCATCTAATGCATTGGCATGTTGGATTCTCTTAAACACATGTGACGTGCATGTCGTTGTTAGATAGGTTCTGATATGGAAATCAAGCAAAAGTGGGAAGCTTTGAGTTCATTTACATCACATGGTGTTGTGAATGTGATTTGAATACGTCAAGTTAGAGAACTTATCTGTTGAAATGTAGTGTAACTATCCATTCAAGTTCATGACAAGTAAACTCTGGACTTATTTCAATATGTTCTTAGGGTCCTTCACTTATGTTTTCATAGAAGAAATAAACCCTAGATCAAAATGAAATTAGAGAGGAGAAGGAAGAAGAGGTAGAATGCCACTGTTAAGAAGTATGCATTGTTGTTTTATTTGAGTTGGGTTTACGGACCCCTGCTCAGAAATTTGTACACAATATACATGAAAGTTTTATTCTACTGATATGCAACTACTGATAATGGGTTATTGCTTTATGGCCATGCTGAGAAGATATTTATCCCTTCAGCATAGTCCAGACACTGTCTTCATAAAATTCTTAAAAAGTTAATTGAAAAATAACATGCAATGGAGCATTTAATTGTTCAGGGTAATAACTTCTACAGGTAAATAATAATATCTTCTCTCTAAAGCACTCCAAAAGCTGTTGTGATTTCTGTTTTTATTCTCTGATGGGCACTCTCTCTCTCTCTCTCTCGTTACACATTACACTGTGTGTGTGTGCATGCTTGCATGTCTCTCTATCTCTATAGCTAAAGTTGATGTGGGTGCATGGTTCATTACAGGCGCATGTTTATTGGCGATCTGGTCTTCATAGTGACCTGAATTCAAGTGTGTGGGGAAGTGAAATAAGATGTTCAGCGTTTCTTGCAAATATCGATGAACACCATTCAGCTAATGTGAAGTTCCTTGGCAAAGTTTATAGCTTGCCACCATGGTCAGTAAGCATTTTGCCAGATTGTAAGAATGTGGCTTTTAACACTGCCAAGGTAAAGTCATCTCAATTCCGTAATTATATAGTCCCATTTTTCCTCTATATGCAGTAAAACTTTCTGTAGTTGATATCTACATACTTCCTATGAAATTGCCGAGGATTTTATCCATTTCATGTGGCATGACTTTGCTTTTGGTCCTTCTTCATTATGCTCTTTAAGTTAATACATTGATAGTTATTGAATATTTTTACTGGGCATAGTGGTTTATAACTAATAATGATATTTTGATAACATCGCACCATTATATGCTGATCCACAAGTTATTTGATGGATTAGGATTTTGTATGCCCCAATCAAAGAAGTACCGTTAGTGCTGTGTTTGGAAGTTACCGCAGCTCTTTTACTGAGAATAAAAGTTCCGAAATTTTTTTGGTCTGAAGCATTTCTCACTGCTACCTTTTTAATAAATTACATGCCCTCTCGTGTTCTTGAGGGAAAATCTCCCGCAAAAATTATTTCTATCTCACCTATGTTCCTTGTATCTCCTAAGGTGTTTGGTTGTATATGTTTTGTCCACAACCTTGGTCCAAAGAGGGACAAGCTTGATGCTAAAGCTGCCAAGAGTTCAAGTGTTATAATCCTATTACCAAGGTACGCTATATCTCTATGGGTGTCACTTTCTTTGAATTTGTTCCATACTTCTCCTCTACAGGTCATGAGTGCTCTCTTCAAGGGGAGAATAAGATACGTTTAAGAGAGCACACCAACGCTTCCCCTTCCTATTCCCACATCACTTTTATTTGAAGAGAGTGGTTTATTTTAAAGGAATGGTGCGGATTTAGAGATGGAGTTGAAGACGTATACCAGGATGAAGAAAATGGTATAACCCGAAGTTCTAAGCGACTATACCTTGAATGCTAGCATGGACTCAAAAATTTTTATTGACCCAGGTGACTCTATCACCCTTTCAGAGAATCACTTACCTATTGCTATTCGCAAGGGTTCACGTTCTTGCATTCAACATCCACTAACAAACTTCATATCCTACAATTTTGTCTCCCTATCATCGTGCCTTCATATTTGCTCCATCGTATGTTAGAATACCTTCAAGTGTTGCAGAAGCACTTTTACAACAACAATGTCTTATGTTAGAATACCTTCCAATGTTGTAGAAGCACTTTTACAACAACAATGGAAAGCTGCCATGAGTGACGACATGTGAGCATTTGAGCAGAATAATACATGGGAAATCACTAACTTTTCTGAAGGGAAGAAGGTCGTAGGATGTCGATGGATGTTTACTATAAAATACAAAGTTGATGGTACCATTAAAATGTACAAAGCAAGATTGGCTGCAAAAGGTTTCACCCAGACTCCTGGTATAGACTTACATGGAGAAATGCAAGAAGAAATCTAAATGACCATTCTTCTTACATGGAGGAATGCAAGAAAAAATTTACATGACCATTCTTCTTGGTTTCCAGATTAAGGGGGAGATAGGAACCCGTTGCAAGTTAAAGAAGACAATATATGGACTTAAACAGTCTCCTAGAGCATGGTTTAACAAATTCAATGAGGCACTACTGAAATTTGGGTTCAAAAGGAGTCAAGCTAATTATACACTCTTTGTGCCAAAGGATACTGCTGGAATTATTGCGCTTATTGTGTATGTTGATGATATGTGAAGGGCATTGATGATCTTAAATCTTATTTAAGAAATGTGTTTTATATCAAATATTTAGGACCCCTTAAGTATTTTTGGGGAGTTTAAGTGACGAGATCAAAGAAAGAGATAATCATTTCCTAGAGAAAATATGTGTTGGACTTATTACAACAAACATGGATGTTGGAATCTAGACCTGTAGATACTCCTATTGAAGTCAATCATGAACTTCATAAAGTGGAGAGCTACTCAAAGATCCTAATCAGTATCAACAAATAGTGAGCAAGCTTATATATGCCACAATCACTTGACCAAGCATTTCTTATGCGGTTATGTCAAGTCTGCGCCAGGGAAAGGGATGTTTTTCTCAAATCAAGGACATTCTGATGTTGTACTTTACACATATGTTGCTTGGGCTGGTTGCAAAACTGATAGAAGATCCACAATTGGCTATTGGACCTTCGTTTTGGGAAATCTGATTACTTGGAAAAGCAAGAAGCAAAATGTGGTGGCAAGATCAAGTGCTGAAGTAGAATATAGAGCAATGGCTCGTGGTACATGCGAAGTAATGTGCATCAAAGTGTTCTTTTTGATTTGGTTGTTAGGGTTAAGCTTCCCATGATTCTATATTGTGACAATGAAGCAGTCATTCATGAAAGGACTAAGTACATTGAAGTAGATTGCTACTTTATCAGAGAGAACGTAGATCATTTAGACTCCTCATGTGAAGTATAAAGATCAACTTGCAGATATCTTCATCAAAGCCGCTAGACAGGATAGATTACATGACATCGCAAGCATGTTGGGCATGATTGATATCTATGCATCAGCTTGAGGGGGAGTGTTGGAAGTAAAAGGAATAAACTTTATTGTATTTGATGGATAGAATGGTCATTTATCTTTTATTTAGTCTTTATTTTTCTCATGTCTCTAAATAAGGGCAATATTGTCCATAAGTTGTAATTAGGGTTGTTAATTAATGTTTTAAGGGGGGTAGAGATCACATGTGACCTTTAATACTTTCCCTCTCTCTTTCTCACATGTCTCTCTCTCTCTCTCTCCCTTCTTTGACATCATCATCTTTATTTTCTTTACTCTCTTTCTCTATCTAGATCCTACCAAACTGTTTTCTTCTCTACTTTAATTTCAACTCATACTAAGGTAGTTACAAAAGGTGCTCACAACAAGTGTTATTTTGTTAGCCCACGAACTGGATGCTCTTTACAAAAAATAAAACAAATAATAAAAAGAAAAGGAAATGAAAAAGGACAAAGAAGTTGCAAAAGAGCAAGAATGGGAAAGATGGGGTGTGTGAGTAGAGGGGGTGAAGAATACGCATAAGAGAAGAGGAGGGAGAGAGAGAGTGTAAAGTACAGTGCTCAGAGCCTGTCAAAAATAGGGCAAAGAGCCAAGTGGTGCAGTTCAAAAAAGGTAGTGCCTACCGAACAAAGGTTTAGTACCGGTAAAGGATAGGGCATAAAGCCAGAATAGCGCTGTACAAAAAAGGTCATGCGATAAAAAAACTCACTGTACACATAGAGAAAAGAAAGGATAGGGAGAGGAGAAACCAAAAAAGAAAAAGCATCCCACAAGAGTGGTGCTCAGGACAGAGCTGGGAGGAGGTGCAGCCCACAAGGTGGGTGCTTTGATGAGGAGGAGTAGAGGGGAAGGAGGGGTTAGGAGATGGGTGCCCTCCCAAAATGCGACCTTGGAGTGGATTACAATAGCACCTGTAAAAAATTGAGGAAGAGGAGATGCAAAAAGTAAAGTGAAGAAGAAATGAGATAGAGGCATAGTGAGAGAGAGAGGGGGAAGAGAGAGAAAGAAGATAGAGGAGTGTGTGAGAGAAAGAGAGTTGATTAGAGAGAAAAGAGAAGAGAGTGGGTGTGAGTTAGATGGATGGAAAGAAGGGGGAGAGAGAGAGGTAGAGGGAGAAATAAGAGGGATATATCATTAGTTCAAAAAGGTGGTGTGAGAAGGAAGTGAGGTCCCCAGCAAGGAGGTCTGTTCCTTGGCCAAAGTATAAGTGTCGGAGTTAGCCTTCTGCTAGACGTGATGGAAATCTACTTGATGAGGCTTGCACAAGTGAAAAATGTGGTTAAAAACTTGTGTCAAATCACCAAGGACAAAGCACACACTTACTGGGCCATCGAATGATGCTAGCGTTATCTTTTTTTTTACAAGAATAACAACTTTTATTATATTCAACAAAGAATTACCACAATTCATTGGTTACAGAGCATAAACAAATCAGCAAAAACAATCAGAAATTCACATTGAATGATGTTAGCATTATCCCCTTCTACCATACGATTGAGGCCCCAAGCTGGGTCGAATCTAGAAAGACCCTCAAGTAATGCGTTTGCCTCTACCTAGGTTGAGTCACTGTCGTGGAGGGGAACGCTGAAGTCGCCATTGGAGTTGTGGAAGATGCCACCAAAACCACATCGGCCAAGGTGGCCCAAGGAGCAACCATTGAAGCTGGGTTTAATCACCCCTTAAAGAGGTGGGTTCCATATCGAAGATCTTGGCATGTCCCAATGGCAGAAAGTGATGAAGTTAGCCCAGTGCAAGGTGAAGTCAGTTGCAAAACGAATTTAGCGGTTTGTAGCTGGAGGCCTGGAAGATGGAGAGTTTGTCGGAGTATTCAGCGATGCTAGAGGTGCTATGATGGAGGCCTTTGAAAGTTTTGGAACTACATTCACTCCAAATGGACCATAGGTTTGTCATGACTGATGATCTCCAAAGGAAATGCCGTTTGCAGGATCTTTTTTGTTTTTTTGTGGGAGGAAAGCATGACGCTAGCGTGGATGAAGTGATGGTCGTCGGTTTCCTCAGCATTAAGCTATAAGCACCAACAGGCCTCTCTTTGATCTTGGTGACTAGCCAACATAGAGCATTGATCTTGGTGGCAAGGGTGAATCCAGACTATCCTAAGGGATGAAGGCAAACCAAGCAAAGGTGCCCTGAACAAAACAAATGAAAAGAACAAAAAATAAGAACATGTTAAAAGAGTTTGGTCACCCACATGTCAGCATGCTCAAAACCTAAAGAGATAAAAAATCAGGTGGGTGGCTGCCCACAGTCCGGGTACTCAGCACATGCAGGGTGACAGCTTACAAGCCATGTGCTCACCCAAGGATCAAAAAACTGATGTGCGACCAATAGGTGATAGAGGGAAAAGGGAGAGGTGGAGAGAGGAAGAAAGAAAAAGAAAAGTGCAAAAATGAAGATGGATATGGGGGAAAGAAGTGGTGAGAGAGAAGAGGGAAGGAGGTTGGGGAAAGAGAAGGCTAAAAATGAAAATAGAGAGAGGAGAAATAGATATGGAGAACTAGAGCAAAAAATGGAAAGGGAGTGATAGAAAGAGAGAAAATATTGAAAAACATTT